GCATCAAGGAAGCATTAACTTCAACGTGTCAAGAGGTTCTCGGTCTAAAGAAATACCATCATAAGGAATGGATCTCTATAGAAACACTGGACAAGATCAAAGAAAGGAAGAACAAGAAGGCAGCAATAAACAACAGCCGAACACGAGCAGAGAAAGTCCAAGCACAAGCTGAATACATAGAAGCAAACAAACAAGTGAAGAGGAGCATTAGAGCCGACAAGAAGAAATACGTGAAAGAACTAGCAACAACGGCAGAAAAAGCTGCTAGAGAAGGAAATATGAAACAGCTTCACGATACAACGAAGAAACTAGCAGGGAAATACAGTAAACCAGAGAGGACGGTCAAAGACAAAGAAGGCAAGCCAATCACCGAAATTCAACAACAGCGTAACAGATGGGTAGAATACTTTGAGGAACTCCTGAATAGGCCGGCTCCAATGAATCCACCGGACATCGAAGCAGCACACATAGATCTTCCTATAGATGTCAATCCACCAACTACGGAAGAAATTAGAATGGCCGTCAGACAAATCAAGAACGGGAAAGCAGCAGGACCCGACAACATACCAACTGAAGCACTGAAATCAGACATCGAAGCAACCACAAGCATGCTTTATCTTCTATTCAAAAGATTTGGGAGGAGGAACAAGTGCCGATGGACTGGAAAGAAGGACACCTCGTCAAGATTCGAAAGAAAGGAGATCTGAGCAAATGTGAAAACTACAGAGGCATTACACTACTGTCAATACCAGGGATAGTCTCCAACAGATTGCTGCTGAACCGGATGAAGGATGCAGTAGACGCCCAACTTCGAGATCAACAAGCTGGATTCCGTAAGGATTGGTCGTGCACAGACCAAATTGCAACACTACGGATCATCGTCGAACAATCAGTTGAGTGGAACTCATCACTATACATCAAATTCATTGATTATGAAAAGGCATTCGACAGTGTAGATAGGAGGACGTTATGGAAACTTCTTCGACACTACGGAGTTCCTGAGAAGATTGTCAATATTATCCGGAACTCATACGACGGACTACAGTGCAAAGTAGTGCATGGAGGGCAGCTGACAGATGCATTCCAAGTAAGGACCGGAGTCAGACAAGGCTGTTTACTCTCTCCCTTCCTTTTTCTCCTGGTGGTCGACTGGATTATGAAGACCTCAACATCTGAAGGAAAACACGGAATACAATGGACAGCTCAGAATCAATTAGACGATTTGGACTTCGCAGATGACCTAGCCCTCCTATCACGTACACACGAACAGATGCAGATGAAGACAGCCAGTGTAGCAGCAGTCTCTGCATCAGTAGGCCTCAGCATACACAAAGGGAAAACTAAGGTCCTCAAATTCAAAGCGGAGAACAGCAATCCAATCACACTTGATGGCGAAACTCTGGAAGATGTAGAGTCCTTCACATACCTGGGAAGCATCAAGGAGGATCCGATGCAGACGTAAAGGCGAGGATCGGCAAAGCAAGGGTCGCATTCCTACAATTGAAGAACATATGGAACTCAAAACAACTTTCAACCAATATCAAAGTGAGAATCTTCAATACGAACGTCAAGGCAGTTCTACTGTATGGAGCTGAAACTTGGAGAACTACAACAACCACAATCAAGAAAGTACAAGTATTTATAATTCGCTGTCTTCGCAAGATACTCAACATCCATTGGCCGGATACCATCAGCAACACAATTCTGTGGGAGAGAACAAACCAACTTCCAGCTGAAGAAGAAATTAGGAAAAGACGATGGAAATGGATAGGACATACATTACGCAAATCGTCAAACTGCATCACGAGGCAAGCCCTAACTTGGAATCCTGAGGGGAAGCGAAAAAGAGGAAGGCCAAAGAACACATTGCGTCGGATAATAGAAGCAGATATGAAAACGATGAATTACAACTGGACGGAGCTAGAAAGGATTGCCCAGGACAGGGTTGGATGGAGAATGCTGGTGAGCGGCCTATGCTCCTTCACGAGGAGTAACAGGCCTAAGTAAGTAAGTAAGTTGCACCAATATTTATGTGTTAAATAGAAAATATATATAATGGTTATATGGACTCAGTAGTAAAGTCAATAACACAAAAAGGTTTTAAGTCAACGATACTGAATTCGAGTCCAGAAGTGAACATCAACTCTAAGATATGACAAGTACATCCAACTAAAGACAAGTCACAAATAGGACAAGACGCGCTTCTTGGATTCAATCAGTGTTAGCCACAACTATTTATTCAAATGACTGAATGAATTGATAGTTTAATAATTTTATGTAATTATATTTCCCTTATATAAAGATAACAAAACAATAAAACAAAGATTTTTAGATTGACTAATAGTAGTATGATATCTAATGACATGAAACCTGATTGAATGTTGAAATGATTAACTAGATATATATACACCATATAATAAATTACATAGTAACATTAATGAGCTTTACAATACACTACTATATATTTGTATAACTCTATATTGACTAGTTAATGAATGTTAAGATGAAGCATTTTGTAATAAATTAATAAATATGATAAGTTTAAATAGAAATAATCCTATTCGGTATTACTATTATTCGTAATTACAAAGAGGTCAAGGTAATATATATATAGTTTATATTTAATGGAATTCCAAAGTGTGATCAAAATGATCAAAGTCGATTATGATAAGATAGAGAGGGCAAAAAAGAACAGATCATTAAGTTAAATTTATATAATGATTTGTCGTCAAGACTATAATTTAAAGACGAACCAATTAGGTATAAGATAACAGGTCTCGGATTTTGGCACGAAATTCATCCACTCATTTGGCTAAATAGAATTTTGGCATTATAGCCGTTCTTAGTTGGTGGAGCGATTTGTCTGGTTAATTCAGATAACGAACGAGACTTTAACCTGCTAAATAGTAGACTGGTCCTCTGTGCTCGTTTAGGGAGCGGCTTCTATTGCTTCTTTATGGAGTAGTGTGGTCATGATCCGGCGGGTGCGGTGCCAGTTTTTACTTCTTAGACGGAAAAGGGGCACACTTCAGTCGCACGAAATTGAGCAATAACAGGTCTGTGATGCCCTTAGATGTCCGAGGCCACACGTGCGCTACAATGACGGTGCAAGCGAGTCTGGGAACCTGGCCTGAAAGGGTTGGGCAAACTATTTCATCACCGTCGTGACTGGGATCGGGGCTTGCAATTATTCCCCGTGAAAGAGGAATTCCTGGTAAGTGCAAGCCATAAGCTTGCGCTGATTACGTCCCTGCCCTTTGTACACACCGCCCGTCGCTACTACCGATTGAATGGTTTAGTGAGGTCACTAGAAGATCGTCCGCAAATTATAGTCTCAACGATTTTACTAGAAGTCATCTACGTTAGGGGCAACATAATACTTTCATATGATGAAGTATAAACACACACACACACACACGGACGGATGGATGGATGGATGGATGGATAAAGTTATCTTGAAAAACATTAAAATATGCTGAGACAAGAGAAATTCAAATGATTAAATGTATTTTCATCCCAATGGGAAACTATTACACACTGTTCGAAGTGAAGCAAACTAAAAGTTGGCAAAGTATTCAGAAGAAAAATTAACGAGGAATATTGAGATATTGTTTACGAAGTAGAAAAGTACTTATTCTTGAGAGATATGAAAAGAAAGTTAGCTTAGAATTAATTTGAACAATGTAGCAGTGGGACCGGAAGGTTCAAGGAACAATTGCATTAGGCAGGTTAAGCATAGATTTTTTACGAGAAGTGTTTTATGCGTTAGCTTCGTATTTTTAGGGCTTTATGGACGACCAAGACAGAAATCCGTCTGATGAAGTGAGATGTGCTATTCTTGTTAGGGTTGAACATTTGTAATTCCTTTCTTTTCGTTGTGAGAAAGCATCAACGTTACATATGCGGATTGTCTAAAGGAAATACCCCTGATTATTATTATATGCTCATATAGTCAGTAGTAAGACTGCAACCTCGGATCTTTAGATGTCTTTAATCTCATCGTTCTCCAACCAAATTGTGTAGCACGGTTACACTTAAATGAACGAATGACCCAGGCAAAAAACTTGAATCGGTTATCACAACAGGCAAGCCTGACCGCCACGTATCAGGACAGCAGCTACGATTGGGAGCAAGAGAATATGACTGATCCAAGAGCAATCATGTACACAAGTACTTCCACTTGTTCCAATCAGTTTCTAAGACAAAATATACACTATATCCTATAGTTTCATATACTCTAATAACAAGAAAAAACTAGATTTCATAAACTACCTAATAATTTATGAAAATAAATTATATTGATATCAACCAATTTGTAGGCAATAAAGCTTAAATAATTTCCTAAACTCAATTGAGAAACAGCTTTTCCACGGAAGTCAAAACAACAGACGTAAACAAACATCTCCGTTAGACAGCAAAAGAAAATTAGAAAGCATTGGATGGCTGTTTCGTCCTAGTGTGCCACCCCTCAGTAGTGTGCATTCCACTACAAATCGAATTCAAGATCCTTAAATCAATAACAATGTGCGCAATAGTGATTAATTCCAACAAGTGACTATCTGAATTCGAGAATCCCGCATGCGAGGCGTTTTAACCAACAATCACATTCATGTAGCCCCTAAAAACTTCAATGGTTGTCTATAACCCAAAAAATACTGTCTTTATATGTATTAAAACGTTATTAACTGAAGGTCTTATTACAAGGAAGGCTATCAGTATCTATCAAGTTACAGAAAGATTCTGTACAGATTACCTAGTGAAAAACATAATCAGCATTTCTTTAAACTAATGAAAATTGTTAAACACTGGAGGATACAATACATTATCATACCCTAAATCAAGTTAGCTTAGAATATCATTTCGTGAATCCAAATGATGAAAAACTAGAAAAGATAACGAGTTCATTATGGGATTAATTATAGAGCGAAAACGAAACTATAATAAGGAATAATTAAATGACCACTATGTATTCAGGAAAATCTATCTACCAATTGACTTACCGATTCTGAACGATGTGATCGTAGACCTGAGCATAAAGCACGAAACTGTAGGCGTTTTTTAGTCGAGTTCACGGTAGTATGATCACGACTCGATTCCGAACAATGAGAGCTGAAAGTAAACAAACAAATTCATAACATACGGCTGTCATAATTTTTCAATCTGCACTGAGTACCTTAGTGAAGCGTATAGATTACAGAACCCATACATAAAAAGAGAAAATTCAGACTTCTCGAACCGTATAATAAACTGAATCTACCAATAAATTCTGGTGAACAAAGAATGAAGAAATGACGCCATGAACTAACATCGACTTAACTAAAAATCGAAAAGCAGAACAGTGTACATCTTATGTTGAACATAAAGACCACTGCATCAGATTCACTGTGTTCATCAATGATGCTGTCCAGATATGTGAAGGTCTTCACATCTTCAAAAGCTTCTCCGTCAAGTGCAATTTGATTGGTGCATGTTGCATTGTATCGGAAAATCTTGCTTTTCCTTTTGTGTATGTTGAGATCTGCTGCTTTACTGGTTGTCTTCTGCATCTGTTGTTGCGTGTGCGATAGAAGAGCCGGATCATCAGCGAAGTCTAGGTTAAGCAGCAGCATCATTGCTGTCCACCGTGTCCTATGCTCCTCCTCAGATGTTGATGTCTTTACAATCCAGTCGATCACCAGGAGAAAGAGAAAAGGTCGGTCTTCACTTCGAACGAGTCTGTGGGCTGTCCCCCATGCACGAGTCTGCAGTTTAATCCATCATAAGAATTCCGTATGATGTTGACTATCTTCTCAGGCACGTCGTAGTGTCGAAGAAGCCTCCATAGTTTTGTCCTGTCCATACTATCAAATGCTCTCTCGTACTCAATGAAGTAGATGTAAAGTGGTGATCGACTCATGGTTTCACTGAGATTGAACGAATAGTTCGCCAATGCTATGTAGCGCATAATTCGATGTTTATGTTCACTCTAGTGTATTATTTTAGGAAATTTGTATCATATACAGAAAGTATTTTAGTTGTCATGAGAAAAACATAGTTACATAATCCTTATTGATAGATAATTCAAAAGTACCAAAATAAGGTCGCAACATTTAAAACTTAAGGCATCATTTAATTATAAACAAATAATCAATACCTAATCACTTCTATGTAACACAAATATTTTGTTTTAACGGTAGTTTAAAAACTAATTAATTATAATGCCGGAAATAATTATGCCACTATATGTTAACGGTAATCAGCTATCAATGAAATATGTGTTTTTATGATTAAAAGCCTTTTCACATAGACAACTGTCAAGAAAACTATAGCGAATGTACTTCAAACTTAAGAGTTGTGTCTAATGGAGCTCTGGTGAAAACAGATCATATTATAGGTAGTATGTAAGTAAACTAATAGTGAAAGCCATTATGGCTTATGCTAATGTGGGCCATCTTTGGACTTTCATGGTGTTAGTCTGATTGTAAAGGATCGGGTCTATAATCTGTCAGTCAGAGCAGTCTATGCTTGTGAAAATTGGCTTCTCCTACTTGACGATGTTAAGCGACATTCTGTGTTTGATCATCGTTGGCCTTGAACGGCTACTGATATCCAGTGAAAACACAATGTTAATGATGTGGAGATTCGGTAATGTGTGTTCGAGTAGAGAGTATAATTCAATTGATATCACTACCTACAAACACCGACTTTAGTGGTTTGGACATGTACTTCGAATGTCGTCTCATCGAATTCCACATCCTTGTGTTATTTTCGGACGATGGGACTGGTTGGGAGAAACGGAAAAGTGGTCAGTATATCACATGACATGGTGTTGTCGTGGTATTAAAGAAAGCTGTACAGGACAAAAGTTCTCTTGTGACAATCACAGAGGAATCAGTCTGACTAATGTAGTGTCTAAAAAAATTAGCTTCAATAATACTTCGACGCTTAATCAAAGCTCATGAAAAGCAGACTAGAGAAAACCAGGCGGCTTTTCGACCTAGAGGTGGTTGTATAGATCAAATATTCACACTACGTCAGGTTCTAGAACACAGACACACATTCAGACGCCCCACAATGGTAGTATTTCTCGACCTTAAGGCGGCATTCGACTCTGTTGATCGTGAGGTTCTATGGCAGTGTTTGTCACTGAAAGGAGTACCAAAGAAGTACATTAACCTTATAAAGGCTCTCTACTCGAACACAACTGGTAGAGTGAGAGCTTATGGCGAACTGTCGTCAGAGTTGATTACCTCAAGTGATGTTTGTCAGGGCTGACTTTGCCATTGACGTACTTTTAGAGATAACCCTTTCCTCATCTAAATTTTCAGGGGTTGAACTTCTACCAGGAGATTCACTTATTGACTTGGAATATGCCGATGACATAGTTCTATTTGGTGAAGACGCTGACAAAATGCACAGTCTTCTGACCACTCTAAGCAACAATGCATGCATGTTCAGCATGCGATTCTCCCCATTCTCGAAATCAAAATGTTGCTTCAGGATTGGGTTGCATTGACACCCAAACCAATGATAAGGAGTGGAGTAGTTGAGTGTGTCGACCGCTTCACTTATCTTGGAAGTCTCATCAGCCCTTGTGGTCTTGTATGTGACGAAATCTCAGCACGGATACAGAAGACTCGATTAGCTTGCTTTTGTTAACTTGCGTCATCTATGGCGTAGGTGAGATATCTGTCTATCAACCAAAGAACGTGTTTACTGCGCAGCAGTTCGTTCCATCCTACTTTATGGCAGTGAAACATGGCCGGTAAGAGTAGAGGATATTCGTAGGTTACTAGTATTTGATCATAGGTGTCTTCGAAATATTGCTCGTATATCGTGGGACCATCGAGTAAGTAACTCAGTTGTTAGGAAACGAGTACTAGGTAAGGATGGCAAATCAATTGATAAAGTGGTGAAACTTCATCAGTTGAGATGGCTTGGACACGTGTTACGTATGCCCAACGACCGACTGCCTCGACGTGCGATGTTCAGTGGTATAGGAGTAGGTTGGAAGAAAGCTAGAAGCAGCCAGACCAAAACATGGCACAAATCCATGAAGTCACTGACAAGTGGTCTGAGCCATGTGGGTAAGTGTAGACTACCTGATTAGGATCCACGAGACGATGTCAGCCTATGGTTAGAGACCTTGAATGACATGGCTCAAAATCGTTTGCAATGGCGCAGGTGCATCCACTCTTCGTGTTCTCCCAAATTATAATCTTCTGAATTCTTATTTTCTTTCCAAATTTATTTCACTGTACTATACTCCTTGAATAACATCTTCAAGCCCTAATGTTTCCGAATACTGCTTATACTTTCACTACCTCTACCACTACGGAATTTGAGTCGACAACTGCATCTCTGTGCTAATGTGGTGTAGCAACTCAAACTGATGTACGTACGTACGAAGTTCTACTTTGTTACTGACGGAACTGAGTGAATTACTTATTAAGATATTGATATATGAAAGTAAAGATGCGAAAGAGACTAGTTGGAAAATAAAATTAATGATGAGAATAGAGTGTAAACAATATGGATCACACCACTTTGGATGATAAATAAATATCATTAGGGTAGGTTTTTAGTTTAAGTATAAGATGATTTTAAATGCACACAGTGGGAGGTGGCTTTGAAATTCCATACAGCTAAAGTTTTCATAATTCTAAATATTCCCTATAGACAAATTCTATTTAGATCAATTTCATGAGCTGTTTCAATTAAGAGTTTAGCAATTGATGAAGATGAGTGTTTAATACTTACGTTTATTAGGACATTGGATTTTATGTGTACCTAAAGCAATGATAGTACATGTTTAGACATCTTAATAAATAAATCACGACTGCTCAGCCCGTAAATGTGTGGCCACAGAAATAAACGCACAAACATGAGTGTAAATTGATAGACGCAATGGGATCTGATACAATCGTTGACATGTTGACCATGTTTATAGTGAAGGATAGACTTTGTTTCTTTTTTCACATAATGCTGTTAATGACAAAAGAAAAACCGAACACCATCTACAAAACAAACTGTTCCGAATACGAAAAACACTAGATCAGACAAAGTGAACTCCCTCCATTAGTGGTCAAATGCCAGAATATATCTTCACTTATATCAATGCATGAGGACGATTGTGAACACACATTTGAATAAAAAAATATTGAAATCTTGGATAGAAGGAATACTTAGCACCAGGTCAATCAGAAATCAACAAACACATCGAAATCGATCCAAATTATCAATCAATCAGAAAGATCATAGACAAATATAAGATCAAGAATCACAGTAAAAGGAGATCCAATCGAAATAAATAGGCAGACGATGACAACTTGAAGGTTAACAGTGGGCAATAAAATTTGCGTTCGACAAGGCAAGCTATGAGTCATATGTGGAGAAATCCGAACACTTTACTCCTTCCTAAAGTTTATACTGACGATGTTGTTCAGAAGAACAATGAAAGCTCCACGACTGAATCATCTACCTCAAAGACGAAAACTTCATATAAATCATCCACTTGAGCTACAAATCTTCGCCACCATATCAATATCATTACATTCTCCAAATTAAATTAATATACTGAGGTGTTTAGTTAATAATGAATAATAAACACAACCATATAACAAATGAATTAAACAGAAAAGTATTAATGAGTTAATTTATAATGAATTACTTGTAATGAGCAGCTTTTGTAGACATATCTTTATGACAATTAGGTATAGGACTAGAATAGTAAGGTAGTTGTGAAGAAAATTCTAGATTTTTAACTGTATTCTTATCATTATCATCAGAAAAACAATTCATTTGTTGATAATTATCCCATATGCCAGGATGTCGATGAGTTTTACTTTTACGGCTACTACTATTACTACTCCTAGTAGTAGTGGTAGACGTAGAAGTAGTATTAGTTGTCGTTATTGTTTTCATATTGGCTAAACGTTGACTTTCTTGTTCAAGCACGTGATACATTTCACCGGCTCGTGTCCACAAATCTGAAACAGATTCATTTTGATCTTGATCAAATGATGCCCATAAACGTGAACTTAATAAACTTGTTTTACTGGATCGGTGTGATGTACCAACAGAAGCATAATTTGACTTATTGGTATATGTTGCATGATATGGCATAGGTGAATCTTCTTTAGCTAAAAAATAAAAAATGTACAAATAAAATTATCCAATGGAAGAATATGCATAGGCCCAAGTTGTCATATCAAATCAACACAAAGGAAAGAAACTAACAAAAAGAAAACTGAAACAACCAAAATAGTGCAGTATGCAACGGTAATGAAAAGGAACGAAAAGTTGAGAATATAATGTGAGAAGATATAATGGGAAACACATATGAAATGATACTGCAATTCAAGTATGTCTAACTGACTTCTATGCTTAATTGGTAGTTGTTATTGTTGGCCACCTCAAACACCTCAATCGATAAAGAATCAGTAATTCATAAAACGTATGTGTAATCTCCCAAATTCCCTGATATGGTCGACAGGGAGGAGTTAGCTTCACCTCTCCAAATGCTCTCACATGATAATGTGTACGTACCAGCTGCCATACAAGTCCTACTAATTACATTCTCATGACTGTGGTGTTCTTTACGAAATTGAGAGGACGAAAATCGAATGTCCGGTCACGGCTTAAACCGGGGTGATAAATACAACGGAACATACACCTATGGGGTTCGAAAACTCTGATCCTAAAACAATCGTATACATGGGATCCAGCATTCTGAGAGAACAAATGAAGTATCAACTTGTTGTTGGTCACCGACTACCATGGGACTACATCTCCTAACGTTGCTCCACTACATTGTGGATCAGAACTCAAGATTGAAAACTTTGGGAGAGTAACCTTATTATTGTTCACTAGATTATCTAACAAAACGATAGGAATGCTTTGAAGACATCTTTGATTAAAAATCCGCAGTTTATCTAATGCCTCTTAATTTAAGGGACCATGATTCAAAGCCAAAGACTACAGAATAACTCAATCGACAAGTAGTTAATGCATGAATACAAGTTAATACATGTTTATAATTTGTCGCAAATTAACTTAATACATATATGTGATAATATCAACTACTACAATAATATGGGGACTCAATAAGTAATCTATATAATTGCAAATGGTGTCAATTGTGTTCATAAATCAGATATCTTAAATATGATTAGAGAGAACTTATTCATCCATTGACTATGTAGCAACGAATAGCATGTATTGTAAACTCTAAATTTTTCAGATGTAATAGATATACATCCAGCTATAGAGTTACAAATGTCACTATGCCAAGTTGTGATTAAACTTTGGTCTAATAATAGAAAATTAGATACACGATATGTACAGTTATACAGTTTAATTATATTACAAATTAACTACAATCTAATTGCATAGTATGGAACAACCGCTGTGAAGATTAAACGTACAACACTCTATATAACTGATCAAATAAATATGAGGCTGTAGTCTCTGTTAACGATTGAGTCAATTGTCTAAATTATTAATCCACAGATTCATAATGGTTAGACCGGAAATTTCAACCGTAAAACTAGCCAATATGAAAAAAAGGTTACTGATCATTATTTTGAAGAAAACTAGTGATTGTCAAATGTGTACAGTGAGGATTCAAATGACTATCATCAGTGATCACTGTTTAATTGTTAAATGATACTGTTAGGAAGATAATGAGTTATCTAGTTTTTTTTATCAAGATATAATAATGTCAATGGTTGAGATCATGAGTCAGTTGAAGCTAGACCACCATGGGAAACCTGGAAGCACTGAACGACCGTTTCGTCCTGTTGTGGGGCTCTTCAGTAGTAATAATGTTTACAAGGATATCCCCCCTAATCACTTTTGTTGTTACCTTATTGATTGTTTTCATTTATAGTTTACTAACTGTGTTATACTTCGAAATTATCATTACTTGCTATATATAAACAGAGTTATTTCACTACAACTTTTTTGTCTTAAATATCAATCTTTTAATAGTCTTTTGACTTATTTCTGTTTTTCAAAGGGTTAAAGATGATCACTATGTCAGTCGTCCAATCTGTCAAGTTTCATATAAGAAAAATAGTTCAATTGTTAGTAATTCAAATTACCGTAGACTACAGCACAGGTATACAGATAAGTTAACATTAACACTAATGTTACAGTGAAGTCTAATTAGTGAATGTAAATATAAGTAGATTACCATACACTATTGCACTGAAAAATACAAAAGTATGCCAAAAAGCATCGATACGACTAGAACTGCATTTTACTAACATAAGTAGTACGATTAATTATCAAGAACAAGGAACCTATGATATAATTTATATTTATTAGTCGTTCGGATCTTCCCATTGATGTTTAGGACTTGTTATGTCCCGATAAGCATAATGAATGTTAACTTTTAGGATCCATTGATGGACCAATACTATACGTATATTTTATTCGTGTAATTCTTAAATAACTAAACTATACATATTTATATTCTTCTTATCATAAGCTTTATTTTGACCTATGAACTAGCAATATAAGTTTCACCATTCTTGAATTATGCCCTGTCTATTAATCACTACCTCCCTCCCTCATTCACAGCCACCTTTGGCCAAACCTTGTACAAATGTTATTTTCTATTTTGTGGTACGTTGTGGTCTGTCTGGTTGGTATATAAACCCAGTACGCTTGAAATAAAGAACTCATATCGCAGAGGTTCGGATTGGTGTTCTGGACTTAACTGGCTAGACAGGAAGCGGGACCAGTCAGGACTCTAGACTGCTCATACGGGTTTATACGTCGTTGATCCGATCGATAAGTGACTGTTGTCTAATTGGCGGTATCGTTTACGTACACATTAACAGGGCACGCAGGCCACATGTTATAACAGGACTGCAATTGATCAATCTCTTTCTTGATATATGTGCATTCTGTGCGGATTGCTTCGATAGTGCATCAAGTCATAAGCATTTTAAGCAGAAGTTGGATGTTGATTAGCAGTGGAATCCAGAACGCGCGTTTGACTTTACTTGGAACTCACCAGCTGGATGTACCTACTACATTACAAAGTTGACGTTTATTCCGAGACTCGAAACAAGTACCAATTGTTTCAAACGCCATCGCGCTATCCACCTAACTACTGAGTACAAATAACCACTGGTTTTAGCAATGGGATGGATTTTAATTCATATATATTACTTACGTGATGAATATGAGATATTTGTTTCATGTATGTTTGAAACATCTTTTCCTAACAGCCCAATATTAAGAGTACCAGTTTGAAATGGTTGCTTATCAAGCAAATAATCATGCTCGTCATCATTATTATCATCACGAGTAAAACATGATACATTCATTTGGTGTTTTGAATGTAATCCTTGTACAACACTACCGCTATTGGTAGAGCTCCGACGTCGAGGTAGGTGAATTATTTTAGGTTCAGTATTATGTTGGTAATTATTGATGGAATTTTTATGTGAAACATTAACAGCCGGTAAAAGTTGACATGGTGAAGTATGGACATTTTTACATGTAACAGAAACTGGCTGACTCTCTGTAGTATTACTTGTGATAATTGTGTTGTCAGTAGAAGTGATGTTCATTGATGTTAATGTTTTCACTTGATCATATCGACCAGGATGACGAGTAGAAGCATAGGCACGTTTACGAATAAATCGAACTGGCAATGTATCTGTGTTTACATCTTCAATACTTGACGGATCTATTGTATGTTTTCGAATAATTCGAACAGAATCAAATCCAGACTTTTTAGATGATTCATATGTGTTCAAATTATGATCGATAGGTTTGATCTTAGTCAGTGTTTTGTCAGTTCCTGTCGGAGAATTATCCATCAACTGAATTGAATCAGGTGGGCAAGAGTTTTCTTTACGAGCTTCATTGGATGATAAGAATTCATCTGAGAGTAAATGACTCGTTGATGAATTGTCAAATTCTGAAGTTCAGAAAAGAATACAAGAAAACAATGTTTTCATTAAAGTAATATCATTTTAAAATAAATATAAAGGATAACCGTTGATGTGTACAAAAATGCCAATGATTACTATCCGTTGCGCTGAACCGAAGTAGGTGAAGCGGACTTCGAATATGGGATTTGATGGCTGAAAATCAAATGACTTTACCACTAATTGGCTAGTACTAAATAATTCTCCTTACTTCATACACACGGAACGTTTCAGTTAAGTTCAAAAGGTTCAATAATCAAACAGCGTAACAGTATGATACACTGACGGTCCTGAGTTAACCATTTAGAATCAAGATAACACCATACATTTGTGCGAAATTTGAAGTGCAGTGATAGATAATGTGTATATTATTATAAACTAACTGAAAATTGACATTATTTGGTTCGTAAAATGCTCAGAACCAATAGAAATATAGATTATGCAACCAATTTAGGATGGTGCTTGAGTTAAATTACAAAACATACCTGTTCTTAAGGTAGGTTGCTTATTAAAGTACTTGATGTGGGGGTCACTACATAATCAAGTATTTAATGAAGTTAGATAATATTCTCTTTTTCTTACTCTTACTTTAAAGCCCGAACTTAAGAATTTCAAGTTTGTAAACGGAAAGATGGCAAGGCATTGCATTGTAACTTATATCAGTTTGTAACGAAGATTCTATAGGGTGATAACTCAAATTCACAACGCTAGTCCAACTAATAAAATATGTAAACTTGACCTTTTTTCTTTACTACAAGGAATAATTTGACATATGACGGTTAATTATTCAGATCAAAGCCGTTATTCCATTGTTTTATAACTTCGTAAAGTTCCATGACTGACTGATAAATCGCCAAAGGTTGTTAATATGTCGTAATTTTGTTTAAACAGTACATGAATACCGAACAGCGGTATTTTACAAGCGTTGATGGATTTTTAAACTTAACATAGGAAATAAATTCATCAATCTACGTTTAAGATATACACTAATTTAAAAAAAAGAACAAGAGAAAGAAGCCTTATCATTGAAATTTTTTGTATTTCACAATGGATAGTGTGAAGGAATAATTCACCAAAATAATAAGCCATCAGTATAGATGTATTTGTGTAGAGTTTGCTGAAGTTTGTACTCCACACCACGAACTGAGCTTAATTAAACTACTCGAGACTACGAAGTAGTGGGTAGCTTTTTTGTTCTACATTGGGGGTACCTTGTAGCAGTACATATTCACGACCACACCAATGAGGATAAGCTCCCAGACCACCAACTCGTATAATGAGCATCCATATTTCAGTTGAGTGCGCTGAGGACCCAATGGTATACATATTTAGTCCTAATGAATTCTTGATATATTGCAACCATTATCCAATCTGATTGGTGGACACAAATGCTTCACTTCAAATATGACTGAATTTCAACTAGTCACAGTGTGTTGTTGAGGAGTTATATACTAGGCCAAAACATTTATCCAGTGCTCCTTGATAGGCAATGGTTATCTAACCAAAGTTAGCTCGTGATATTATATATAAATATAAGCTAATGGTTATTTGTTTGTGTTCAACCAAATCAGCTGTTTCACCGAATATCATCATATGACTGTTTATTCAATGAGAAAATGTGTCAATCTCTGATATACCGAGCATGATGGCATTAACACAAACACGTATACATAGTGATTGATGCATATAGAGAACAATTAATTAGCCAGAAAATAAGCTAATAATCAAGCATGCACTCACCCACACACGCACATACAAACTTAACACATACGAAGATCAATAAAGTTTATTGATTGCACCAAATCGTAGCAAGAAACACACTCAGTGCATAATAAGTAAATATACGCGCGAACTTTATAAGCAGTGATGATGTAAGTAAACAAAAAGTAGTACGGACAATGTGATAGATACACACATGATTCATACAAACATACAAACACATATAGAGATTACACTCAAATGTTAAACAACAGATTAGGCTGTTGAATGTATTTATCCTTAACAAAGACAAATTCGTTGAAGTATATACTAGAGGTGGGACATTACTGACAATGTGTTTGTAGGCCATAATTTTTGCAAGTTCAAAAGAAGATCTACCCAGAAAGCATCAAAGTTTATAAACAAAGCAGAAACTATAAACAGTCCTTCTTTGAAGAGTAGAATTATTTATTACAATCATTACACAGTAACAACGCTTGGCATACGAGAGTTTGGGAATGTTTCCCGGCACTTAAACACTGAAACAACCAGCTGCCACACTTTGACCCCAAATGCTCTGGTACGATCTACAGGGAGGAGTTAGCTTCACCTCTCCAAATGCTCTCACATGATAATGCGTACGTACCAGCTGCCATACAAGTCCTACTCATTATATTCTCATGACTGTGTTGTTCTTTACGAAATTGAGAGGACGAAAATCGAATGTCCGGTCACGGCTTAAACCGGGGTGATAAATACGACGGAACATACACCTATGGGGTTCGAAAACCCTGAGCTTAAAACAATCGTATACATGGGATCCAGCATTCTGAGAGAACAAATGAAGTATGAACTTGTTGTTGGTCACCGACTACCATGGGACTGCATCTCCTAACGTTGCTCCACTACATTGTGGATCAGAACTCTGGATCGAAGGCTTTGGGAGTGCCTCTGTAAGAAAACTACCTGCTTCGGTTTTAGCACGCAGGCAGTATCATAGTCCTCACACAAATCGAATGATTCGTATGGCACAATTATATTTGGTGCCTACTTGTACCAATGTTTATGTGTTCAAATAATATGTCTAAATAATAATAGTAATAATAATAACATCGGGAGAGGAGTATTGTTATAAGTGAGTAGATAATTAACATGATCCAAGATGAATGTGAACTGTTCCTCCTTAAATTAATTCACTAATATTGGAGATTTTGTAGTCACTGAGTTAGATGACTTAGTTGTGAAACTTTCATTGTTCTTTTCAACATCATTATCAGCACGTAATACAGTGAGAAGTGAGCTATCAAAATTTCTGTACAACAATCTCTTATTCAATCGTAGGGAAATTCTAAATGCTCACTTCCCTTCGAAGTACACACTGATAATGTTATTCAGAGGGATAATAAGAGCTTCAGAACCAAACTATACAGTACATCAGAAAACAAAACATCTTCATCCTGAGCTTCATGTTCTTCTAGTGAATTAATAAAACCCTACTGACGATAAATATACCATCATCCCTCATTAGTTTAACATAACCCCTTACTCATATAAGTGATTGTAATATGAATAGAGCACTGTGTTTTTAACACAACTTACTACTTATTAATACTTATTATTGAGAGGACACATTAGTAATTGCAAAAACAACACAGAGGCATGAAAAAAGTAATGTGGTTAAAGTTATTTATTTATCCAACTTTAAAGTTAGTTGTTCACATGGTCAATTGGGAATAGTCACTCTAATCTTGAAGAACATAATAATCTTGTTAGATTGTTGTTATAATGAAGGTGATATTCAATTAATCTTTCAAATTGTCACAAAAGCATAGCTAAAAGCAACTATTATTGTTGTTATTATTATAGATGTAAAACTGTACCAATTAAATATTTCTAAGCACGAAGTAGTCTACAAGCTAGAACTGCTATAACCCATTGCTTACGAATGTGTGAAATAAGTTTGCTTGTAGAAAATCAATTTGATGGCTTTCATTATTTGGAGTTAGAATTTGGTTGCAAATTAAGAGCCTCAATTAAATTCATAGAAAAAAAGTGTTTGCATTCGTTCTGCAGTAAAATATACAGATACTTGCTAATGATGATACTGTGCGACCACCTTTCATTGTATTCGGTTGGTAACTGCTTCAAACTCAACACGGTTGAACTCCATTGGTCACGGCTTTTCACTGAATCGTCTGAAATTTCCTCTCGAAGATAGTCATTAGTCGGGACAAGTTAAGTGTTAGTATAAGGTTGTGGAGATTGCTGAGTTTCATTGAATTCATGAACTGATCTAAGTTAGATCGTTATTGAAATACAGAAAGTACTGAACAGATGTTTCATCCTAATATGGGACTTCTTATCAGTGAGCATCCACGACTCCATATGCAGGAATCCAACCCCAAAACTTCAGTCTCGCACGCGTACGCTTAACCTGTAAACCATTGGGCTGTTATCCAACAGTGTTAATGTCTAATTCTAATCAATCGCCGTTTATGATTTCAGCGAAATTCCACAATCTCCGTAATCGTATCTTCACAATTATTAATCAATTTATAGGTATAAGTACCAAGGTTTGACTTAGTAATTTAATTTCCGCATTTGGTAAAAAGTGAATATTCACTCTAAAGAAGTAACTTTCAGTGAGTCATGAAAAACCAGAAATTCGAATTTCTATGCACTGGGACATCGACAAATTTATTATTAATTTATCATTATGGATGATTTTGTTGTGATGCACGGTGTCCAGAAGCTGATACTGATACACACCTACCATAGAAGACTTTAATTACTGGAGTGGTATGATGAAGAGTGAGGAGGAAATTTTATTTGATTAACCGAGTTATATATATGTGTGTACTCGATTGTATATATAAACAATAAATTGCTAATGTACACATTCAATTTGTTAGACAGATTAATTGATTGAAAGAACAATACCATGTTACAGAAATAAAATGAGTTTACACAGATATATACAGTAAAGTTAGTTTATAAATATTAGTACATTCAAATAAATCATTAAATCATTGAGCAACTGGTGAGAAAACAGCTTCATGTGTTATGTAACTATGAATAACACTGACTTGTTTAGAACGACAGTTTAGTTTGGAATAAATTTCGAACATGTGAAATATAAAGAGTTGAACTGTATGATTTTAGCTTTGTCAGCGGGGTATAGATTGGATTAAAGTATGTTCCGTGCAGGATTGTGCTAGAGCATACTGACTGACTATTTTTTTAGCCAATCAACGCTAGTGAATACTTGGAGAAGACGTTAGAATTTTCTTCTGTAAAAATTATAAATATTATATCGTTTCTCTTATTGTGATCATTACTTCCATCTAACTGTTTTACTTGGAATACCTGGTTAAGGTATAGTAATGGCGAGTTTGAGACAATGGGTAATCTAGCTCAAATCTGGTAGCAATAGAGACGTGTATTTAACTCCTATATTTTCTAAGATCGTGAGAGTTCATAAATTAATTCATATTATAAAGTAGTGTGTTGGAAACTCGGTGTATTCATTTTCATTCTTCCTCGAAATCTTGAATGTGTAATGAACAGCTCACGCTTTACACTTGATGGTGTCCATTCATTTACATCCGACTACATATTTTTATGCTTCATTGTCATATTTACTGACCATAAATTTATTTGAACTTCGTTTTGAAACATAATAAATAATCTTTTATTATCCCAACGTGATATAATAACAAACTTCCACCTGTATATTACAGATCTGCTGTTATTTCTAACGTAATTCAATGGATTTGGATGAAATTCCAAAAATCTAACATTGAATTATTTATTTATTTAAACACAGACATTGGCACAATGAGGCATCAAATATATATGCGTCACATAAATCATTCAATTTGTGTGAGGCCTGAGATACTTTTCGGGTGCCCAAACCTAGACAGGTAGTTTTCTTAGGGGATCACAGCCGGAGCCTTCGACTTAAAGGTCGGGTCCAACAAGGCAGTTGAGCAACGTCAGGAGATGCATTCCCATGTTAGCCGGTGACCGAAGTTTGGTTCATACGCCATTTGTTCCTTCAGGATTCTGGAACCTATGTGAACCATTGATTTGGAATGAGGGTTTCCCAACTCCCTTAGGTGAACTCTCCGTGTCCACCAACCCAGTTAAAGCGCCGGACATTTGCTTTTAGTCCTCCCAGTTTCGTAAACAAAACCCCTGCCACGAGAAGACAACGAGTATGACTTCCCTGGAAGTGGTTGTACGCACGTGACCATGTGAGAGCGTTTCGAGAGGGAGGGACGACCCTCCCCACTCTCAGCCGTACCAGGGCATTTGGGGGCGAATTTGTTCGTGCATTTGAAAAAATATAAGGAACAGTATATCCATATACGGAGAAAGAAGTAATCTTTCACGAAAACAATAACAATAACTTTTAAGAAAAAAAAGATATTTACCGGATTCTTGAAGTTGTGACAAAACTGGATGTAATAAATTGTTAGATAACTTGTCCAATTTCTTAATTTCTTGACTATCAAACAGCTTTTCACAATTATTACTATTACCAGTGTTGGCAGTAGTATTAGTAGTAGTATTAATAGTAGTTCGAGGTTTGGGTGTCGGTTTATTCAACTGAGAGATTGGAACAACTGACGACTACAAATTGTAATGGATGAAAAAACACAGACAAAAGTGGTTAGAAATTAGATAGAAATGTATAGTATTTTGACTGATTAACGAATAAATGTTGTTTTGTGATTGAAATCGAAGGTAAATGTTGCTAGGAAATAAATTGATAAGAACTTCAAATAAAGCTTAATAAGTTCATTGGTGCATAGATACGTTCAAAGTGATGTTTCTATATGTTGAGACCATAAAGAGAGCAATGTCAAAGTCAGATACAGAGTTCTACGTACAAATGGCAGATCAGTTGATGAAACCGTGGAACTTTATAGACAGATGTGACTGGGAAATGTGTTATGGATGCCTAACAACTACCTACCCATATGCGAGACGAATGCTAGAGGCCAGTCTAAGACATAGGATCAGTCCATGAAGTCACCAACAATTGGACTGAACCCTGTTGGTAGTTGTAGATTACCCAGTTGAAGTCCGAATAACTATTGTGATCTATAGTTATAGACGTTGGGGTTAGATGGCTTAGAGTCGGTTACAGCTGCGGAGATGGGCTCACGACTTATTTTCTTGTAAACCTTGGGTTTTTTGTTTTGAAAACTTATTCTTTCTTCTTGAATCATACTACTCATGTCTATTTTTTCCTACTACCACCAGTACTGTTACTTCTCCTGCAACTCAGGCGTTTGGAGTAATAATTTCTGTTCGATGTTGTGTGTCAACTTGGACTGATGCACGAAGTGTCAGCTACAATGTAGCTTATGATCGAAGTGTACTGAAGATCTGTAAAAATGAGATAGGTAAGTATAACAAACACATTTACTCTGAAACATCTTTGATACCCAATGATATGCGAAATATATGCCATATTCAATGGCGATCTACGTCACGCACATGATTTATTTATTTATTCAAACACACAAACATTGGTACGAGCAGGTATCAAACAGATATAAACCACATAAATCATTCGATTTGTGTGAGGGCTGGGATACTGTCCGGGTACCCAAACCGAAGCACACACATACAATACCATCTAACTGTAGATGCATGTATAACTGAAAAAAAACTAAGCAGAAAACCTGTAGTAAACTTTAAGTTAATAATACCACTTTATTGTACAAAGTCTCAATTTGACCAAATTGAGAATATCTATTAATCATACAGATAAACTAACCAGTTCCAGTCACCGTAGGGTTAATAAACAGTAAAATAACTTCAAACTATATGATTTCACGAATACATCGTTGATGACAATTATCAACTTTTAATTTTTGGATTCACCATGAAAACTATTGAACCAACTTTGAACAATGACAAAGAATGATACAACAGGCACGATGCTGATAATATGAAAGATCTTGTAGTATAACTCTGCAAATGCTTGAGGTGAGCTTTGGACAACGAATGAAACTAGGTATATATTGTACAAGGATCTATTGCATGCTGGTATATGGCTGTGAGATGTAGACAAATGTAAGTGATTTGTAAGCTTTAGTAATATAGCTAAGCTTCAACCAATCACAGTACGCTGAATTCACCTTCTCTGTTAACTTTGAATAAACATTTAATGAATCACTCCATGTTCTTCTTGCTTATTTTAATGTTTTTCCACTATCTTCTTTTAAGACTCTCCTTCATTTTTATGCCGTTGTAACGTGCTGGTATGTTAAATTTATCTAGTGTAAAGTTGCGAAACGGGGGGAGGGGAGGAGCGGCAAGATAATAAATCGCTATAACATGAACATCTTATAGCAACACTCCTACAATCAATTTTAATTACGGTTAATTTTGTCAAACCCTTTAATTAATTTATTCGACAGTGTTATTTGAACAGTAGTAGTTTGTCTATCTCTTTGTATTATTATGATCACTATCATGTCTGTATTAACGTGTACATTAGATCACATGTGAGTTTACGTACATATTCCCCACTTTACCTTAAATGTTGATCGCTTAAATATCGCTCGACGAATCATTCTCTTTACCATATATATTTCAATCTTATTAATTTCTGCCTTGCCTCACTTCGCCTCGATGCCATTTGACTCTGAAACTGCTTCTGTATTCGCTTGCTTGTGTGCATTATTCTCTCAGCTCAAATTCGCTTGATGCGCTTAGAACTTCTTTACCTGTGCTATCCAATAATAAAATGTAGTCATCGCTTTGTATTGCCTTCTGAATTCATACACCGTTGGGATTTACCTAATAACAGTTACCGGGGTAATTGATAAACGAAACCTAAGGAAATATGTCGAAGCCAAGCCACTACAATCTAAAACGCAGTGTAAATTATTGGTAACATTCGTATGATACTACTACCAATCAGATATTAGAAATAAAATGATGACAGAATATGTTCTAATCTAATAAAATAGTAGAAAATCGGCTTCTATAATCAAATAGTCAGTCAGTCACAACGTGGAGCCTGTATGTATGTACATCGGTGCAAGTTGCCATACTCCACAGAGAGATGGAATCATAAGACCAAATCCCAGAATCCTAGAGGTAGTAAGAGTATTAGTGGTAATAGGGAAGATTATGCATCAATGATACGATTCAAGGAAAAGATACAAATTAGTGAAATAAAAACGAGACAAGAAGTTGAGGAATTCAGCATGTCAAAATTTGAGGGAAACCAAAGAACAGACCACAACTCTCTACTACTTACATTTCATAATAACTTTTCCGTTTTACACACAACTATAACTGAGACATCATCATCATCAACAACAACGCATTACTGAATGGATTAATTAGACTTATTATGTAAAGTATTCACTCAAGAGGCTAAAAGACTTACAGTACAGTCAGGTGAAATCTTCATTTCATCTTTATGAACATCAGTAGTAATAGTAGTAGTATTACTAGCATTAGTAGTGTATAAAAATGCAGAATTGGAATCTTTCAAAGACATATTTTGAATACCATTAACGATATTAGATGAAGTCAATATTTTAAGCGGTGATAATTCACAAATTGTATCAGTAATTGGTTGGTTAGGAACAAGAGATTTATGTAGTAATGTAAGCTGAATATTTCGATCGCTGAAACAAAAGATTTAAGATGAATTCAATAATGATAAAAAGAATAAAAATAAAGTTTAAGTACATATATATACTAGTCGCATGTATAGTCACTTGGATTAGTGACTACAATGTAACTTGATTGACAGACGTCGATGAGCAGCACACTAAAGGACCAGACAAACATTGAACTGATCATTACTAAATGATCGAACCATAGTAAATACCTCAGTATTATTATGGTCAGTCGCTATTTGAGTTGCCCAGTGGTGATATCTTAAACTGTGCAACCGAGTGGTCTACGTTCGAATCCAACATGAAGCATTAGTTCCCTAGTGATAACAAGTACACCTCAGTGACGAGTCTCAAATAGCATAAAACCGAAATAGAGCAAGGCTTTCTGTAGACTACCTTCAACCACTTAGCAGATTCAATTGATGGTTTTAATATTGCATATTTTGTTATTGTGACGACGGACCACGGGTGAACTCAAGGAAGCTGTAGGAGGCTCAGAAGGAGCCGAAGATATTCTATCCAATCACTTTTTGGAAGAAAATTCTAGAATTCCTACACGTAGCTTCCCGAATGGACAATGCTAATAACCCCCTGTATGCGGATCGGAGGACTGTAATGATGATTTCGTTCTCACTAAAAACTATAAATACCCGACAATTTTGTACTATAATTGACACTGTCTGGGAATAATATTCCTTTCATTAGTTTTCTGTCTTCTCATTGCGGCTTGGAGGGGTTCTGGCGTTCTAGTGACCACGTTATACGCGGTATATCAGGAACAACCTTCTAGATATAACAATTGGCGACGTGGTAGAAAAAGAATTCTGAACCCTCAATCTTCAACGTCAGCCTGTAATTGGACGAAATTCAGTCAATTATTTCGAGCAATCAGCATTCAGATCTGTCATCGGTGTCCTTAGAAGACGCTGATTGTTAATTTATCATATAGTATTTCTCATTACCGTGCTGATTCAGAAAATGGTTATCTCTTTTGATCAATTACAGTTGCTATTTGAGAGACAACGGCAGCGTTTCAAAAATAGCCAGCTGAATGTTTTAGACAATTTACGCACACGGCTGCTAAATCATCCATGTTTTGGAGATGTGACAGAAGTTGACAAACTAATTTCTAATTTGCATACAGAGCTGGAAAATGACCGCAAAACGTATGAATGTGTCGATAAAAGCCTCTATGAATCCTTGACGACCAGTAATGTAAGCGAAGCAGTAGCAGTCATTCACGATCCTCCCAGTGGTCCAGAAATGTTCATTTCAGAGACATGCCCTGTCGCTGGTTCAAATCCCAATGCCCACGAAGAGACAGAAAATGAATCAAGCAGCATAATGGAGACAGTGGAATTAGATAGAGCTCATCATTCCAGAACAAAAAGTTCTGATGAATCTACTTATTGGAGTTCTCTAGTTGTTTTATCAAATATGAGTTATTTTAATGACTCATCTGCTTTTGATCAAATTTGTTACAAAAATGAGAGGAATTTGTCGGATGCACCAAACGACGATCAAGAACCTAATAAAATTTTGATAGATTCTGATTATTCCAGTGATCGACTATCTACTAATTAGATTTCCAAGAAATTCAATAACAGTGTTCCAGAAGAATCAAACTTTGATGACCTCATATCAAGCGACGTTGATCCTTACCATTTAATCACCTTTAGTAAATTCTCTGTTCAATGTGACAAATAAGTTTTAAGTAAAGTCAAATTAATTGTAACTTGAGAATATGAGGATCCAACACTGTTTCGTGAGAGAGGATAAACTCAGAAAATTTAAAATCCAGATCTTCAAAAAAGGGGAGGTGTTATGTCCCGATAAGCATAATGAATGGTAACTTTCGGGATCCATTTATGGACCAATACTATGCGTACATTTTTATCGTACGATTGTTAAATAACTAAACTATTCATACTCATTTCCCTCTTATTATGAGCTTTATTTTAATTTATGAACTATTATTATACAATTTACTATTCTTGAATTATGCCCTGTCCATTAATTACTACCTCCCACATTCACAGAAACATTTGGCCAAACCTTGTATAAATGTTGCTTCCTACTTTATTGGTACGATGTGGTCTGTCTGGTTGGTACATAAACCCTGTATGTTTGAAAGTAAATGATTCATATTACAGAGGCTGGGATTGGTGTTCTGGATACAATTGGCTGGACTAGGCGGAAAGCAGGACCAATCAGGACTCTAGGCTGCTCGCACGTGTTTTATGCGTCACTGATACGGTCGATAGTTCGCTGCTCTCTGATTGGCGATATCGTTGCGCTATCCAATATACAGGACACACAGGTCCACAAGTTATAACAGTTGTGTAAAAATCAACGACAACTCATAATTACTGACTGGAAATGACATGAGTAAAAATGTGAAATCATTACAAAAACGAGTCAAACATAATAAAAGTAGTTTTTCTTGTCAAACAAAAACACAAATCTAGATTATAAATTGCGAATGAGATTAACAGACACCTGACATTATTCTGAACAGTTTAAAAGCCTAACCGCCCATTGAACTGTTCGAAAGACCTGAATATTACAAAGTGGTGAATACGAGATATGTAGAAAAGAAAATTACAGCGGTGTAAATCCGATAGTGTGTGATTTGTAATAGCTATATTCAACTGATATATTTATACACGAAAGTAAACTTTCCAGTAAAACTCAATGGGTTCAGACAACTGATTTCGAGTACAACCATCATTCTATATAAACAGTAAAATGTATTGCGTGCAACTAAGGCGCGTTAAGTAATCAACAATCATACTCAACTAACTAAAGTGGAAAAGAAAATATTTATCTTTAAATTGGCAACGATCATCACATTGTTTACAACTAAACTTGTTAAAAGATTATTAAAGTATTGAGTCTCGATTGGTTCTTTGTAGTAATAAATATTAGAGGGATATTTGCGAATTTACGTGTTTTGTGGCATGAAACAAACGTATTACACTGAAGATATCACAATACACTACTGCGTAACTCAAATTAGTACTCACAACACTGCAAAAACTTAAAGCATATAGTTTGACTGACACAAAGTACTAGAATTATTCAGTGGCATGTTCCATAACAATCCTCTCGTGTCAGTTTAGAACGGCCATGACAAGTTGGAAACACCGGTTCTCGTTCGATCACCAAGGTTAAACAACGTTGGACCCGGTCAGTACTTGCATGATTAACCGGCTGGGAATATCGAGTGTCACGGTCTGTCTTTACCCCTAAATACCCTGGTAAGACCAATGGTGTGGAGGGTTCCCTCTACCTCTCTAAATGCCCTCATGTGTAAAACCATATATAGCCACTGCTAAGGAAGTCCGAATCACTGACTTCTCGTGGTTGCAGTGTTACTTACGAAATTGACAGGACAAAAAGACAATGTCTAATAGCGGGTTAAATGGAGTTATTGTGTACGGACAACATATCCAAGACAGTTGCAAAATTTTGATTCCAAACTAATGTTGTACATGAACTACAAAATCCTGGCAGGGCAAATCGAGTATGAAACTACTATTGGTTACCAGTTATCATGGAACAACGCTCCACTACCTTGTTGATTAGATATCTATGTCAAAGGGTTAGGAAGTGGCCTCCGAAGAAAATCACCTGCTTCGGTTCAAGCACACTGGTCGTATTCCATTCAACACGCAAATTCAATTATTTGTGTGGTGTATATATATTTTGGTGCCTCTTTGTACTAATGTTCATGTTTAAGTAATTAAATAAATAAAATAAGACTTAATAGATTGAAGCTTAATGTGCCAACAATTAAAAATAATCGACAAATACACATTAATTAAACCAAAAGTAAGCAGCTACTACCCTTGGCCTTTACATTACCCAACTATTTTAATTAACTGTATTATTCTATACAGCAATCCAGTTCAACATAAACGTTACCGTGTGTATAGTTAATTGGATAAAAGAGAATAATGAAAAGGCTTTCATTTTCATTTTTAATGGATTGGGATTATCCCGTTGTTGATATTTTGATTGGATTTATTCTTCTTAGTTTTATTAGGCATATGTCTATCTTGTGTCGGATAAGCCTGATAGATTTCATTGCTAAATACAATTCAATTTAATATTTTATAAAAATTAGAAGCTTTATTTTTAGCCTATGTAATCGAGATACCGATCAATTTAGCTTTCAAATTTATCTTATTGGAATTCAGTTGAATCTGTTCTATGCTAACAGAAATTGACTTGTTAATAAATTTAAGCAATTGAATAAAGCATACAGAATGTGTGATTATTATAGAATTTCCAGTTTTAAATCATGAATAAATCTTGTTGAGACTATTATTGGATGAGGGTTGTCCAATGTCGTGGATTGGTTAAAGTTCGACAGTAACGCAGTGGATCCTAGTTTGGTGGTCTAGGGATTAAGTGTTCGTGAGCGAGAGTGAAAGTCCTACGTTCGATTTCCGAATGCGGGATCGTGGGTGCCCATTGTTGAAGAACCCCATACTAGGATGAAACGGCTATCTAGTTACACCAGTATTCCAATGGTGGTCTAAGATCAAATCGTTATTTAAAACTGTGAAAACCAAATTAAGTATTGCAAACACATCCTATTTGAAAGAACATTCTATAACATTATAGTATCAAAATACCAAAGAGCTAGAGATGAGTGATTGTGTAGTAAACCAACACTAAAAATAGGCAAAAAAAGTGTAAAGATCAGTTAGTCAGGATAAGATTACTGATTAAAATATAATGACCCAACCAAATGAAAGGAGTTGAACGAAAGTTCATGATGTAATGAAGACTTTTAAATATTACGAGTTGTGTAAGCGGCTGACGAGAGCCCACATAAATAAAATGGATTTATGTTGGTCTGCTCAAGTGCTTGTTCAACTGCTTAACTTCGAACTTAACCATGTCTTATTCTTGTCCTTACGTAACGAGCTGCTATAATTAACCGACTATGTGACCTCGATTTTAGAGTTCATTTTGCACCCGTTCAGTCACTGACTAATTCCTATCTTTAGAGAAACTATTGAGATATAATGTTAACTTCACATACCGGTATTTATTTTGTAATGATTTGATTTAGAACTGTGAAACTTAGATATATCTGTGTAGAGGAGCCAAATAAAAAATAAAGTCTCTTCACTCGACTTGTATATTCACACAACCAGAAAATTAATATTAGTAGTAGAAGTGGTAGTAATAATAGTTTACGGAAATTGACGTTGGTAAACGAAACGCATGTTCCAATTGGATTCGATAATAATGACAATAATAATAATAATAATAATAATAATAATAATAATAATAATAATAATAATATCGTAATGCAGAAGCCATTGAATTTCGACTGACAATAAAATCCAGGAAGCATGTTTTTCTTTGTGCTTGTGACAATTTGGTGGTTAGATGTAAGTGCAAAGCAATCCTAACGAAAAACCCACTTATTTGAAAATTAATTATATGACTGACTTTGCTAGCAACCATTACGCACACCAAATGTATATTGGACGGTGTGGTTTGAGGTAGTCGACATCAAACCCTACTTGACCTAGGTTTCGTGCTATTTGGCACTCATCAATAAGGTTTACCTGTATTATTGAGGAAGATGATGTTCCGTATGGGATCCAATCCCATGTCTTTCAGGTTTAGAATTAGAAACGTTACCACTGAGTTATTAGGACCGTGATAGACCTCTTAGAGGACTGAGATATATTTACGATTGACTGATCACTAAGTAGTGACTAATATCATGGATGTGAAGTCTTTTTTAGTGCCAGTAGGTAGAATTAGATTAGTATTAAGAAGGGATCGACATACGTTGCACTAGTCACTACTCAGTGAACCACTTGGAAATGTGAGTATCAAGCAAAGACTTCGCAAGGCTTAACTTTCGATTAAGATTGACTTCAATTATTGACATCAATTTGGTTAGATACACAAACAACAATCAAATAAGAAGCTTTAATACTAATTAAAGCTTCCATCTAGCTTTACAAATAATTGACAAACTTATTATATTTCTTAAGCAATCAGTAAATGCCACGCAACGAATAGAAAGAACTAACCTGCCACTTCGGAGGAAATTGGAAACTTCTAAGAATGTCATAGATTTCACAGGTTTCTGATTAATGGCAACAATCCGATCACCTGTTCTTAAGCCAGATGCCTCCGCCGAACTGCCTCGAGCAACTTTAGTCACTAAAGCAGTGGACTCGTATGGTTTACCTGTAAAAATTCCGATTACCAAAATGGAAACGGGAGTTTATTTATTAGACAGACAACCAGACAAATAAACTAGATGTTGAAGGTGCATTAAAATCACGCAGGTCAGTCAGTAAGTTATCACCAATGTAGATATCTGGCACAGATATGCATCGGCGCATTTCCATACAAGATTAACACGACGAGAACATAAAAAGATGAACAGTAAAAAAATATTGAGATAATGCAGCAGCAGTAATAATGAGAGAACTGGATGTTAGGAATTTGGCTCTAAAAGACAGTGGAAAGGTGTGTGTGAAGGAATATTGGAATTCAAAATCGAGAGGAAAATAAAGAGTGAATGGATTTACACCACTGAGAACGGTAATAAGGTATTTCAACTAAAGTCCTCAAACACAAATCGCAGTTAATGCATGGACCAAAACCAGACAGTCTGCATTTACCAACATGGCTCGGTTCAAAATTTAATGAATTCGAAGACCAATTCCACATCACATCTTGGTTTAACCTCTATTGGCTTTTTTACAACCTCCTTCTACATTAGCTAGCATAGACCATCTAGGCAGTCAGTATTTGGCAGATGTAACGAAAGTCCTAACGACCTCAGTCGATGAAAATTAACAACTCCACCAACCGACGCCCCACTTCTGCTTAGTACCTCATGTCTAACTTCAACATTTCTGACTCGGTTATCCCATCGAGCGCAAGTAGTGTTTCGAAAACATTTATGATCAAAAAGCTTTAGCCTACATGTCTTTTACATTTAAAGACCATGTTCTACGAGTATAAAATAATACAAGGTGTACTATTACTCGGCATAAATCCTTTGGATGGCAAGCAGATATCTCATATACTACACAAGTGACAAAGAATGGTAAGCGCCATCTAAACTTACGAACCCATGCTAAGACTACATCAGACACCAACCCACCAGGGCCGATAAGACCTTCAAGACAAATGAAGTGGTCACCGCACCCACCAGTTAATTTTATCAGTCACATAGACTACCTTTGGAACTTGATAACCTGAACATGAAAAAGACCTTTTACGAACGTTTAAACAAAAAGTATTTATATCGTTAGCCTTGTGGAATGGGTACAAAGAGAAACATATGTTGGCTTTGGCAAAATGATTTGACCACTCGCCTTTTGGCAGCTGAGTGTCCAAGCCCTATCTCATTCACATCAGTTGGGGTAAAGAACACGAATCATAACAGATGAAGTGAAAGCGAAGGTGATTCTGAACTACTAACTGAGGTAATACTTGACCAGAAATTCAAACAAGTATATATTCACCTGAACTTAAGACCCCATAACTTAACAAAGAGAAACAGTGATTCCGAATGATACATTGATTCTTTCATTGAATAATAAAGTATATTTACCAATCAGGAAGCTAAAGAGCATAACAACCGTCACTGAGGAAACGGGATTATAATTTGAAGAGTTTAACAGACCCTTCTGATGAAAACCGGTCGACTAGTATGAAATGGAGTCTAGTAAACAGTGAATTTAATGTCAGTGACCAATGTAATATAATGAAGAAAAAACCGAACAGAACAAGAACTGCTTGAATAGATATCTACTAAACATTCAGTTCTGACAACTCGATCGAAAATCATTTTGCTAAACCAAAGCACAAAAACGCTGGTCGAATGAGGCAATAAACGAACCGAATTTACTAGTCAGACTTCACGTTATTGCTTGCTAAGCACCTAGTTAGTGAGGTGTGAAATCTACACGCTAAAGAAATACAGAAGACGAACGATTTATGATTCAAGTCTTGAGGACATTTTACTCAAGCTTTACTGTTTCGCGTCCTCAATTTACTAAAAAGAAAAGTCCACCAAACTCACCTTCATCTTTTAATGTAAACCCCAATCCGAACGGAGTCTTTTCAATGACAATAGACATTGGTATATCCATTGTGAAGGAATAAGTTCACTTTATCATGACAGCTGCATGTCTCCGAGTTAAATTATCAGAGAGCATCAGTAAAATTCAAACTACATGCCATGTGAGAAGAGAATATCCAAATCAAAGAACCCGCTTATTTACAACACCATCTATTTCCACGTAAGTCAAGAGAAGAGTAAGCAGTCAGAAAAGAAAGGATGAAAAATTGTCGTTTAGGCATTTGACGTCGATTTCAAAAGCTTTTCCAATATTCTTGGATTATCGTTCCTCGATTTGTAGGGTCACTACTCAAGGTTCTATATCGTAAATTGGCAAGTGTCTTTGGGACTTATTACTCCTTACCTGTGCAGTTTCTCGTTAAGAAAGGATCTCAACGTGCGTTTTTCCCACTTTGAGTTTCAGAATACCGTTTTTATCTTGAATACCTCTATTTCATAGGAAGTGGGGTGGGCAGTTAATGTTATGAGAATTGTGAGGATGGTTAACATGAACGTATTTTGTAATTAGTCTTTACTATTATTTGCATTTTTCCTTGATTTCGCATAACTTGTACAATTATCATTGTTGACTGTAAAACTGCTATTTTGAAAAACTTAACCATCATCTTCCGTTCCCGTTTTGTACTCCCATAACATGACATCGATTACCGCTTAGAAATACACTGCTGACCATATTTACTTCTTGTTCTTATATGTCAGCTGTCACGATAACGGAACTCCGATACAACTGATGCCTAGGTTCGCAGGTCACAACGATATCCTCAATACGCGATTATTCTGAATACACATTTTGTTTTATATCAATCATATTAGAAACCACTGATCACTTATAACTGTAGAATGTGAGACTGAAAAGGAACTCAAACACTACTCCTTCTGAGAAATTGAGTGATCTCATGTGTTTTCCTTGGGTATAATCTGTATTTTGGTGTATTAAAAAACCACCCTTTTTAATTATATAAGACCTTCAGGCGTCATAATTTTTCTGGATGAAGATCCTTCAACTCCCGGGGCAGAGTTTAAATGATTTAATTTGTTTATTCTGACTGGCAATTAATCAGTAAGGTTGCTTTTTAAGGGGTGAGGTTGATGACCTCACGCCCAGCCTTCTTCATTTGCACGGACTTAGGACCGGCAGCGACCCTAGAATAGCTACAGTCGAAGCTTTTTTAGTGACAAGTTTATCACTATCTTGGAACTTATATTTTTACTCCACCACGTAACTTTGAAAGTAACAGTTTATGTACGAAAGAAATGGATAGTTGACGCGATCAGTAATAAATCCAAGTGTTGTTTGAATTATCTATTAAATCCACTAAAATTTGCATTTAAATTCATCCGCCAGCTTTCATGTGCTGCATATCCTGAGGAATACGAAGGCGGTAGTATGAGGACGGTTAGTATTTTGATGAGGTAACGTGTTCGCATAAATAGGGTTTCCCAATAGACATGCACAGTTGAGTATAATAATTATCTTTCTTCAGTTGGTTAATTTCGCAAGACGAACGGTATCGATGTTTTGGTCACCTGAATTGCATATTTATTTTAGGGCGTTGAAAAACTAAATGGTAGATTGATTATTGTTATGAATCCCGTTCAAGTAAGTCGAATAATTTTGGTTTCATACAAAAATACTGTCATAAATTTCAGTGGTTAACCAAACATTCGTAACAACGAGTTAATGACCCGCTCAGTTGTGTGTCTATAAGAGAAACCTCACGAAACAGATATCAGTAATAGTAAAGTGGGACTAATACAATCCGCTGTCTATTCATAATAGAAGTCATCTGTAGAGGTGAATAAATACCCTAATTGAATATCTTTGTGAATTTTATAACATCGACTCTGGCCTCACTAATTTGTACTGAACTGAAAGCTGTCGATCATGCATCCGCTCCAGGTCACTATTGAGCACGCTGTGGTACGCATCCTTCGCAAAGAAAAGCCGACTTAGATCATATCCTTCTAGACATATCGGTAAACCTCCAAACCTATCTTTGAACTCCATTCCTGACTTCTGGTTTGACTGGCTTTGTGATCTTTTAATTATGGTGTTTCGAGTAAAAGCGTTGTCGAACCCTGAATATTCGAGCTATGCCCTGATTACGGTACGTTTGGACTTTGCGTTACGATAACACGTTATCTAATGTAAAGTGTTTAAATATCGTTGAAACCTGTTATGTAACTCAAAAATGGCATTAAAATCAACACTTATGGCAAAATGGGTGGGCTGTCAAAAAACGAGCCTGGGAAGCCCTTATCCTTCAGACAACAACAATCTCGTTACTACCTACACCCCATGTTCTGTAACTCTTTTTGAATCAAATAACGTTGGGAGCAGACGTATATGACACCTGCTGCTGAATGACCCAGTTTCTAATTTAATAATGAGTTTTACTTCAATATTAAAAAGTACTGATAATATTAAGTGAGAATTAGACATTATCTATAAGCAATTAGGCGATATGCGTTCTAAAGTGGAATCGCTTGCGGGCTATCTATCAAAGCATGATGATCTTAAGCAAGAACCAAATACACTATCGCTCTTTAAACTAATACTGTCGAAGGATGTAGTTCCTGTGGAACCTGAAAACATTATCAAAGTAGGGTCTGTTATCGATTTTATCGCTGGCGAATTTACTAAGCGAATAATCTCTCGAAATAACGTGAGTGTCCATAGCATGCTCGACAAAATCTCCATTAAATCTGCAAAGAATCAGATTTAAAAACAGTGAGTTTCCAAGATAGTTCATGCCAATCTATTCGTCTTAATAAAAAGCACCAGAAATGCACGTGCTCGGTCTTATTTAGATTCAATTCCCACCTATTAGCTGAATAGTTGAAAGAATCCGAACGGGTAAACTGCGCGCTTACGAAGCTTAGGAATACCTGCATAGTCTCAGATAAGACCACCAATGAAACAGACAAAAGCATGTCTTAAACGAAAATAACTGTTGAGATTACAACAAATCCCGTTGCCTCAGCAGCTGGATCCACTGATGCAGCTAACCTATCTCATGCTAAACGATGCTCTAATTTACCAATGAAGAGTGATGATTAGCCTCTTCTGTCTTCAGTGACCTCAGTTAATGAATGCATATCTAATGGAAATACCAATCCGATATCTTCCAGTGTAACATTAGAAGTCTATTACCAAATACCTAGTTCTAATGTAAAGGCTCTTAAAAACACTGTCAATAATAAAGAGTCTATACCATGTAAGAAGAAAATATATACAAAACCTTCTGGTTCCAAACCTAGCACCTAAAATATTACGATGGACTTACTAAACAAAAATATACTTCCCGACACCATGTTTTGTCCTGCTAATCGTAGGGGAGGTCAAACTTGCACACTTGGTTCAGGCGTCGCACAAGACGGCCACTAAACCGCCGTGTAAGCAGGTCTAATATTAGACAGACGGCAGAGAACCAACGTATCCCACCGTTACCTTCAAAAGTTTTAAATAGTAAGCCTGTAAAATTTAACTTTTCTCATCACTTTCTAAATAGACAAAATGGAATACTATGTTACGCACCATCAACCCAACCTCAACAAGCAGATACCTTTCTTAACTACCCACCAAGTCAAGTTCAGCAAATAAATCCACCTTATCGAAATAATGATTGTTTTGGCCTTCAGAAACCCCTGGCCCCACTAGCACTACGGTCTGTTCAAGCCACAGCCCATATGGTCAGTCGAACATATCAAACCACAGTCCAGGCAAATCTAATATGCATTACATAAGTATGAAAGCTTTTGATTTTTTTACACTCCATACTCTCTTTTTAAGTGTATTACTTATCAATGTACGTTCACTTCTGAATAAAATTTCAGACTTGAAAACCCTAGCTTTACTAGCCAAGCCTTTTTTCATACTTATCACTGAAACATGGTACTTTCAAGCCGTATCTGATTCGGGATTTAATATCCAGAACTATGGACTCTATCGCTGTAACAGAAAAACTAAGCGAGGACGTGGTTGTCTCATATACGTTTCGGGTACCCTAACAAGTAATAAAGTGGAAGACAGTATTCTGAATAGTTTACCGGAATCGGTCGGGATATCAATCAACACTTTGAGTCATAGTCTACTCCTGGGATATATATGCAGAGCTCCCGACAGATCGATATTGTGAATGGTCTTATTATCAATGCATTTATACATGTACTCACTTAAACTTGAATGCTAAGGATATCACTGAACATTTCAATTGTCAGGGGATAAACTGAAATACCGGTAGTTGTCATTCATGTAATGATGAATTCTCGACAACCATTAACATGCACTGCTGGTCATAGTGGGTTCGTACCACAACAAAGAGTGATCTAATATTTAGTAGAGATGTCATCCCACAGTCTGTAAAACTATACAATTAGTTTCAAAGCAGTGACCATAAGATAGTATTTTGTGCTCTCCCTAACTGTCCCTCCTTATAACTGACCCATGCAAAGACCGCCAATATAGAGAACATAAACATGCTGACTGGGACCTCCTGCGTACAATGGTTAAATTCTCAAACTTGGTTAACTCTTCCTCAGCATTGAACGCTGTCCGTGTTATAAGTGGTGTAGTACAAAGTAGCCTCTCAGGCCCTTTGCTCTTTTTATTAAACATCAATCATAGTTGTGAATGTTTCTGTGTGGGTAAGCCCCTTGTCTATGATGATGATCTTAAAGTAGTGTGTTTATTTTCTTCAAATGAACTGAAAAATATGTAAAATTGCATCAGCATAGAGCTCAGTAAAATAGCTCAGTGGTACTCAAAATGGTAACTGGAGATTAATACTGCTAAATGGGGATGGATATGCTTTAGTGATACATCACTCGACATCGATTTTTCCATAAATGGTGGTGTTATCTAGGTTACATACAGTAATAGGACTTAAGACTTAGATACTCATACGATTTTTTGTTAACAGAACAGGTACTCAAAGAGACTTCCAAATCTCAACGTGTTACAGGTTGCATAACTCGAAACTTTTATAAAAATGAGTCACGTTTTCTGGTGTACGAAGTTTGTGTTCGACCACTCCTAGAATACTGCACGTTTATTTTCCGTAGTGTGTGCATAAATGATAAATTAAGGTTGGAATCAGTACAGCGACAATTTACAATTCGGATTCTTAGAACTGATTGTACCTTGAA